ATAATAGGCCTATATGCCACTTTATTTTCCAACTGTATAATTTGACTGTCTGCTAAATATTGACTTGTAGAGTTATCAAACAAAAAATTCAAGCTTTTATTATCTGCAAATCAATTTTGTCATTTAGTTGTAGATATAAATACAATGTTGAAGCTTATAGTAAAATTCAAGTTTTGTGGAAATTTTTAAGTTATTTCTTATAATTCTGGGAAAGAAATGAGCATAATCTCTTAAAACAAAAGAAATGATTTCATAATTAGTAAATAATTTATTGAAATTGGATTCTGTTCTGTTAATTTAGAATCAAACAATGATGAACTAGAATGCTTCAAAGCATTTCTAACGAAATAAAAACTGGATTACTATGTTTGATAAGTGCATAAAATGACATAATTAGCATGAAATGGTCTTGTATGACCATAAAACAAGATTTAAAAGTTTTTGAGATAACATTTTTCAATATTAATATCATATCTTTTGAGAAATACAGTTTATTTATATAAAAGGATTAGTTTATGTTTGTGAACACCTATGTTATTGAATGGTTTTTATGGAGTTAATGTTTGTATCAATCGAAACTAAGATGCTTGAATGATGCTTTCTGTCATGTCAATGCATCAGTTGGAATAAAGCATAGATAACATTTGTTACCTCATATTTTATCATAAATAGAGTAAAGACAGCTGCTCAAAGGGTTGATGGTTACAGCCATTGCCACCATTATGCTATTTTTTTTAATATTCTCCACACTCTCATAATGAAATCATTTTAACATGGTGTTAATTACTATTAATTTCTTAATTCTCTAGTCAATAAAGTATTCAATGCTGGTTATATAGTTGATTATTGATAACTTGAAGTGGAAGGGGGATAGAAGAATTTTTAAGTTGCAAAAATTACAATTACTGTAATGAAATTATAACTATCATGATAAAAACAAACAGTTAAGACATATTATATTTTTATTATTTCTTAGGTTGGTACAAATATAACAAGATATACTGTATATAAATTATACACTTGCTATTAGTGAAAGAAAGATTTCTTTCACCAAACTCATATTACAGAGTTTGATGTTGTACATAGAAGCCCAGGATTATTTTGACTAATTTCATTAATGAAAAATTAAGATTATACAAAATAAATTTTGAGTCCTTTTTGCCTATTATCATCCTTTTATTCCAGTCCAGGAACCAAAAACAGCCAGCAACGTGAAGCAACACTTTCAAAAATAACTAAAATAATCTCTTAACAAACCTTTAACCAGTGGGAACTCTGAATAATTGTCCATGCAAATGTTTTTGGATTCCTCCTGGGTCCTTTTTCAAGCTATGATTCGTCTGTAAAGATTCATTAGAACGAAGACCAGCAGTGTTTGAAACAAAATTTCAAATTGCAAAATTCGAAAAAGTACTGTATTTAGAATGATATATCAAATTGCGAAATTCGAAAACCAAGATGAATCACGTGCATTCTAGGATTTGTAATCAAAAGTCATTATGTAAAGTCTGGTTTCTTACAGCAGCGTGTTATGTATTTTTTTTAAAATAAGTAAAAATAAGAGATTATATCAGAGGGTTGGAGAGATGAATGTTTTAATACCCTAATTACTATAAGTATTTATTAATGTGAATCCTCTTTCAGGAATAGGGCCTGCCATGCTAGAGACAGGGTAATTTCATCTTTCGAATTGATGGGTATGGATGTGTTGTAGGCTTTGCATATTTCCATTTGTTCTAACCACTTGAGGTAGTTCACATACGATGTGGTAATAAGGAGTTTGGCGTTTGCGAAGTCCGTGGAGATCTCCGGGTCTAAAGCATATAAAGATAATGATGTGGAACCCCTGTTGTGTAGGATGTCCTGTTGGTGCTGTCCATCTGACACCAACTGCACGTTTAGTGGTGCTAATGTAGACTAATTTCCTGTCACATCTATGGTCTATGAAGGGGACAGTGTACATTTTCATTAGGTTTGTCTTTTTCATTGCGCAGAATCCAAAACATAGAAGGGCATCTTCTGAATGCTAAGCATAATCCTTGTTTCTAGCGATTTTTTGATACAAGGATGTCAAGAATGGGTTATAGGTGACTGGGATGATGTGTTGGTCTTGTTCTGCGTTATCCCTAGTATGTGGAGGAGGAGGTGGGAAACCGATTTTGAATTGATGTGTTAAGTTTTGTATGATATTGTTGAATCCATGTTGTCTGGCAATCTTATGTAGATACTTCAATTCTTGATCTAAAGCCTCCAGTGTAGAGCAGTGGGTATGGGCCCTTTTAACAAGGGCTCTAAATTTCACAAATAACTGATGAATACAATCAAAAAACTTACAAAATTAAAAATTATCTTGACATCGACCGTTTTCTGTAGGCTACGACATCTACACATTAAAAATTGTTAAAATTCTTCGCAATCAAAATCAAAATTTATTTTGTATAGTCTTAATTTTTCATTAATGAGTTTGATGATGTTGAACCATTATTTTCTGCTCAACAATGTCTTACAAGGGGAATTTATGACAGTCTTTGGGGGAATTTCAATAATAATATTTTTGTGATTAAGCTATTGGTGTGAACCTTTATTGAGCAAAGGGCAAAAACACTTCTCAAATGTTTTCAAGAAAATTGAAGTGGAAAAATTCTGAGTGACTTATGAATTAGTTTTGTGGAATCTTCTACTAAGGACCACATGAGTCTGCAGCATATGCTTGACTGATTTATTCGTTATTTCAATCAATGACTGATTTATTTGTCATTAAACACAGATAACATTGAAAAGACAATGTTCTCAGTGTTAATTTATTTCATGTAGAAACAAGAAAAATAATAAGTCATATGACATCTTGTGCATTATATAAAAGCTAGTTTTTAGTTTTTTTACATACACAGAGGTTTATAGAACATCAATAGCAAAACATGTTTTGTTAACATTCATAAAAATTTCAACTGTTATCTGTAAATTCTTAAAAGAACTATGCATAACACAACCTTTTTACAAAAAAAAAAGGCTAACAGTTGATGGTGAACAATTAAATGACTTTAGCACTCTTCTCAGGACAATATTCTGTATTTTTGTTCATTCAGAAATGAACAAATTCAAAGGTGCTTATAAAGTTTTTACTTGTCTATAAAAATATACATTGTATAAAGGTGTATGCTGAAGAGGAATGAATTTGGTATTGCCCATCCTAGTCTTTTATTATTCTGAAAGATCTTGTCATATTAAAAGAAACTTACCTATCAAGGTGGGAACCAGTGATCTTGCAAATATGAGTCTGAATATGATGTTGCTAAGCAATGTGTTCTTTGATAGAAAATTCTGCAAAACTAACTTAAAGTGGCGTGCAGTGACATTTGATGATAGGAAAGCTGTTCCAGCCCTGGATAGAATCATTGGAAGCATTATATGATATTTTGGTGTGTAGCATCTACAAGCTAAACTGTGTGAGGTTGTTCTGTAAAGGGCTTGCGTGAATGCCTGTAATCTGAGTGCTTTACACTATTCAAATATTTCATCGAAGCTATCTTGTATTCAACAATACAGCACTTTGGGAATACGCATATACTAATTTATATTTGAATATACAATAGCAATTTTATTATTGTTTTTTACATGTATAGAACTTTGTAATAATTATTATTATGTATTTTATTATGCATAATGGGGTTATAATAAAATATTAAATGTTAATTTTGTCAATATTTTTATTAATAAAATCAAAGATTTAATTTCAGGAACCATTTAAAATTTATTGTTCCTTGTACATGTAATTAACAATTTAATGTAAATTAATAGATACTTATGTAATTAATATATTTTAATATTTTTTAAATTTGTTATAAAAATACTCTAAGTTTTATTTAATTTATTAAAAAAGTATTTTAAAAAATATTATTCTAATTAGTTAATGAAAATAATTATTTCTTTTTAATGTAGTTTTAAAAATGTTTCTATTTTGAAACTTTTATTTATAATAATATATTAAATAGCAACATATAAAAAATGATACAAACATATAATTTTAATCAATTACCACTGAATTATGTGAATACAAAACAAATTGGTATTAAATTATAATAGAAATCAAGATGAAATAGTAGTTTTCTTTTCTAAACATAATGGGCAAAATAAGATCATAAGATCTGTAAGGCTGGTTTTAAATCATTCATACAGACTGAAAAACAGTCCTAATTCCAATTAACTTACTTCAGCAATGAATAAATTAAGATTTATTTATTAAATTACATTCATTGACAAAAAAAAGTTATGCACCAAGAAGAAAATACGGTAATACCCCAAACTTAAGCGATAGGTGGGACAGAGTGATAACCGCATAAGTCAAATTCACATAAGTCAGGGTATAATTTCGCATATAAATACATACAAATTATTTTTAATTGGGGCCAGAGACTAAAGAAAACAATAATTTAGAAAAAAATGTTTAATAAAATCTTAGATAATAAATATGTATAACAAATTATATTGTTACAATCATAAACCAAAGTTATTTTGATGTAGAAGGCTTCGTAAAATCTAACAAATTCGTCTGATGGCTCAAGATGTTTTTTCTCCTGCAAAATTCCCTCGTAGCATGCTAATAATTTTTTTATTTCTTGTTTTGTAGAAGAAATGCACTCTTTGTTGGAGTCTATATTTTCTAAAATTTGTAACCCCTTTTCAATTGAATTGAGATCTTCTGTCAAGTTTCCAACCGTCATTTGATCTTCTGATTGAACTGGGTCTAAAGAATCAAGTTCTTCAATGTCTTGCTCTTGCTGATACATTTCTATGAGCTCATCAATTGTCAGCTCCTGATTGTGTGAATCCAGCAGTTCTTGAACGTCATCACTAACCACTTCTAAATACATTTGCCTAGCAAGATCGACGACTTCTTCAATCACATTACCAATTTCATCAGGCTCTGGCACTGATTACGCCTGAGTTTCAGTGGTGGAAAAAAAGGACACAGTTTTTTCCAGATGCCATTTAAAGTTTTTGTGAAACTTATTCCAAGATTGTCCAATGATTCTCACTGCATCTAAAACATTGAATTGTTTCCAAAAGTCTTTAACAGAGAGCTCATTGTTTTGTCTCATAGCTTCATGCAGATGTGCAAATGATTGTCTCGTGTAATAAGCTTTGAATGTTTTTAATGACTCCCTGATCCATCGGTTTAAGCAAGCTGGTTGTATTTGGTGGCAAAAATACAACTTTCACATGTGGGTCAAAATTAGTTAAAGTTGCAGGGGGATGACCTGGTGCGTTGTTGATTATTAGCATCATTTTAAATGGAATTTGTTTAGATTGGCAATAACATTTGACTTCAGGTATGAAGTGATGACCAAACCAGTCCTCAAAAAGGGAAGCTGTCACCCAAGCTTTACGATTCAACTTCCAAATCACAGGCAAGCCAGCTTTAGATTTATTTTTCAATACTCTTGGATTTTCCAAGCGATAAACTAAGAGAGGTTTTAACTTACAATCACCAGCTGCATTTGCACCAACCATCACTGTCAATCGATCTTTGGCAGTCTTAAAACCTGGAAAGGTTTTCTCTTCACGTGTGATAAAAGTTCTTTTAGGCATCTTCTTCCAGAACAAGCCAGTCTCATCTACATTGAATATGGTTTGGCTGGTATAGCCACCTTCATCTATCATGGCTTTGAATTTTTCTGGATAGTAAGATGCAGCCTCTTTATCAGCACTTGCTGCCTCTCCACTTTCTGCAATGCTATGCCAATTACAGCGACTTTTGAATCGGTTGAACCAACTGTTACTAGCTTTAAACTCTTCATCTTTAGCTACCTCTCCAGCATCCTCTTTCAATCTCTCAAAAATCTGCTTAGCTTGAGAGCACACCGTGTTCTGATCAACAGGACAATTTTCCACATTTACTTGATTATTACACCATAATTTTAACATTGTTTCCATCTCAGCGATAATACCATGATGTTTACGAATGATGCTTGAATTTAAAGATTGAGCATTTTTCACAGCTTCGAGAATTTTTTCTTTACCTTTTATAATTGTTCTGACCATCAATTCTGGTAGATCAAACTTCTTTGCCAATTCACAAATTTTCATTTTTGTGTCAAAGTCTTTAATAATGTTAACTTTACATTCCAAAGAAAAAGTTTTTCTTTTCTTGTTTGATGCAGAAGAATCAGTTCTACTAATCAGTTTTTTTGGATGACATAGTAGAGTCTCTCAAGTCTCCGTAGTTATAACAAACACAGAAATAAATAACACAAAATAAATTGTAGCTATGCGTCGATTCTGCACGACACGTTCAAACATGTAAGCTGAACAATAGTGTGGGGGGAGTAAGTAATCAAGAGTTGCGTGGCGCTCAAACAAAAGGTGAACCAATGAGATTTGAAAATCGTGTAACTCCAAGTTCGGTAAGTCGAGGTATTACTGTATTGGAATCATAAACTTTATTAGTGAAAACATGACAATAGTAATAAGTGATTACAATATCATAGTAAAGGGACAATTTCCTCTGGAACAGTAGTACAATTTAAAGAAACTTTTAGTACCTTATAGGAACTCCATTTATCTGCATACATGTGGTAATATGGCTGAGTGTGAAGCATTCAGGCATTGATTGTTATCCTGCAAAAGATTTGTTTACAAATGATACAACTTCCATTCTAAACCCCTCACATTTTTATGTGGCTGAAGCTGGTGTTCCATCTGGTCCTACAAATGCTTGATAGACAACAAATCTGGAGATTGGTCGGGCCAAAAAAGTATAGCAATATGATAAATATATTCCTGGGAAACTCTTGCTATGTGTAGCTGAGCATTAGCTTGCTGGAAAATGGCTGTTTGCATCTCTGCCATCAAAGACAAACACACAAAGGCTTCCTACAACACAGTAATCACTATACATTCAAATTTCTGTAGCAAGGCTGTCATCTTTCTTTGGATGGTGGATAAAGAAGCCTATTGCAGATATTTATGCTTGTCTTACTATTAGATGATCATCCTTTTTGATGATCTGTATGGGAAATCCAGAGCTATCCCACCATGTTTGTGTGCCCACTGCCTTCAACATTTCCTTACAATCAGATCAGAACAGTCCAGATGGTGAACAATGAGATCAGCAAAATGGCCATCTTATTTTTCTCAGCCTGATGAGAAAAACAGGATGGCATCTTTCTCAAACTTTATCAGCTGTGTATAATGTCTTAGGTATGATTGTACAATGCAGTCAGACTATAATGGTACTGTACATTGAAAATTCTAAACATGGTGAGTCCCTGTGATTTTTTTTACAGCATACTGGAATACTGATTTAAAGGCACTGTAGTGGCATTACCTAGTATGCAGTTGTATCATAATTGTAATCATTTACATATTTATATGAGATGTAACTGTACTGTATGTGATGTTTTGCAGCCATCAGACAACCTTATCTGGATGTGTAACTTTTTTGTCTGCGATTGTATTTATTTATTAGACTATAAAATGTAAAAGCTTTTTATATCTGTCAAATCTTAATTATGGGCAGTCTATAGATTGTCTGTAATTAAAATTTACCTGATCTGACAGTCATACAAATAAACAAAAAATAATAATTTATTTGCATTCTTATGATCATTTTTATAATAATTCTGATTTTGAATCAAAATTATTATAAAAATGATTTTAAAGTGATTTTAAAATTTTAATCTGACAAATGTCTTTTCTGGAACAAGAATCTAAATAATTTTCAGATTTAAGCATCTATCTTCAGGAATCAACTGGAAAAAGAACCAAGAGAATTCAAAGGTAGATAGCAAATTTTATGAGTTAGTTAATTTCACAACATTGTAATTGAAAAGCTTCATATATTGATGGCAAACTTTTGTACTCATACTCTTTTGTAGTATAACAGCTTGTTTCATTTCTTTTTATTAAATTTAGTTTTGTTAATTTAAGTGGTAAAATTATATGAAAGAAAGGAAATTCAGTTATCTTTCTACAAGATCACTTTTCTAAACTCATTTCCAAAATTTTAGTCTCAAAAGCTATGACTTGAGATGAGTATAATTGTAAAATACCTTCATCTTAGTAAATTAATATTTACAAATTGATACAACTGTATTATCATCATCTGACTAATAGAACTTTAATGGATCATCTCTTTTTAAGCATAATTTACTAAAATTATTTATCATGTTATTTAGTATCTACGATAAGTTATCCATCATTAAATCTATAGAACATCAGTAGATGCAGATGATTTAATTTATTGTATAACACATGCAGTCAAATTAGTTATATTATCTCTTTGTGGCCAAAATTTTTTTCTTATAAAATTTCTTTCTGCACATTCTGGAGAAACACATCATCCAAATTTCACTGTAATCTGTTCATTAACTAATTTGTTTTAAGTAGTATTTAATAGAGAAAGTTTGGTTATATAAATACTCAGTATATGTGTACATATATTCATTATTTTTAAAATTATGATTTTAAATTGTAAAAAAATTTTAAAATTACTAGATTATATTTTTACATCTTTTTTACAGGTTTTTTAATTACAATAGAGACCAAAATGAAACCTGAAACAATACATCAAATTCATTTCCTGTTAAACAAGTCTTAAGGTTTAAAGCTTAAACTACAGTTTACAGCATGATGATAAATTCTTAATTTGAGTTTTAAGTACTCTGTAATGTTTTTACTTTTGTAGTAGATTTATATTTTTGTAAATGTACATAAATATTTTGTCATGAAGATTTAGCTAATAAATAATTTATCAAAGCATTTTGTCCAACTGAATTAAAAACACTTCACACCACTTATACTTATTCCAGCACAAAAAATTAAAGGAATGCACAAACATTTTCAGCCACTTTAACAGGCTTTCATCAGGTGAGAAAGTTGTTTTGTATATCGAGCAAAATGAATTATTTCATATATGTTACCAACTGAATTATTTCATAATAGAACGATTTTAAAAAAATGATAAAATTTGGAGAATTATAACAAAATTTTGTCCTTATGAGAGCATACAAATGTTTACATATAAAAGTAGATTACAATTATTTACAATTTTTATTTATTTATTTAATTAGTTTATTTTAAATATGATTATCATATATTTAGGAAAAATTCTATAGGTATCATGTTTATATCTGCATTTTAAAATTAACAAATTTATGTATGAAAATCATGTTTTCTTGAGACAAGAACTAAATGTATTTTTTAGCAAAAGTTTGTTTTGTTTTCAATGTATATTTCCTATTACTTATAAACAATTATAGAATATTTCATATATTATAAACAAAAACAGATACTTTTTAGAAATAAATGTCATAAAATAATATGTCTAATATTTTTCTTTTTTATTTTTTTAAATTTTTTCCACTCTTAATAAGAATATTAATACTATTAACGGATACACCATAAAAAATTAGATAAATAAATGATAAAAACCAATATAAAAGTTACTTTTTTAGTAAACATCATTAAATAATGTGTATAAAAATACAGTAGAGTCCCACAAATTTTACTTAATGTGAACTGAGAAAGTGATGAGTTACTGAAAATTATGAGTTTTACAGATTCCTGTTTTAACAGTAAAGTGAGAAAAATGAGATAGGTGTTAAAATGCTAATCAAATTTGATCATCTTTTCATCAGAAGGAACATGTAGCCAACTGTAGCAGAATTACACTAAATTAACAGATTTGTTTAATATACAGTGGCATCGCAATGACGATAGTCAAAATAACAGAATTTTTATAATGTGTACAAATTCATGTACAAATTTATATATATATATTAATTAAATAGCAATAGTAACTACTTCTATTTGTAGTTAAATTTTAATTAAAAAAATATTGGCTTGTTGACAGCTCCTTTTGAGTTAGTGATATTCACTAACTCAAAAGAAAAAGGGTTATATTCTTTGTTAACATATGGAATTCATGCTATAATCAAGTGTCATCAGTGAAGAACAATAACTTATTTGATCCTAGGATTAAGTTATATATATAAAAATTAGATTAGATTTTTAAACAATACTATGAGTTTTACAGAATGTCAAGTTATAGACTTGAGTTTCTAGGACTTTATTGTAATATAAATTAAAGTAAAAACTTATAAATTATGAGATATATTCACGAAGAATGAATTAATGAAATAGTTTATATTTAATAATATGTTTTATAAAAGAAATAAATATTTATTATAATAGTGTTTACAGTTAATGTATTTATGTTTGGAAATACAATAGATAATTTTCTTGTAATAATTTTGGGAGTCATCTATAATGATGATGACCAACTGACAATGCTAAGGTAGGTACTGTGTTTTCTTGCATATAATCCACAGGCTATCTGTGGTTGAAGGGAGGTGCTAGTGTCACAGCTAGGGAATGTAAGGAAACAGTGCACCCTCTTGCTGGACCAGCTATTAATATCCATTTTTTAACAATTGAACTTACTTATTTGAAAGTGTAAAAGTAAATTAAAGCTATTCACTGCATAAGTATAAATTTAAATTATATAACTGGCAGTTTTTTGAAATTTAGTAATGTAATAAAATATTTTTGTTTTTTACACACATGTGAGACTAAAAGCTCAAACTACCTATGTAGCTGCTGGCCTTGTGATGGATTAATGAATGACAAAACATCATAGTGTTGATATACCTTACACACAACATGAATTAGACAGTGCAAGTTGACAAGTATACAGACAGCACCAGCTTTAGTCACTAGAAAAGTAAACATATGCTTGGGATGGCAATTTTTAGAGGCAGAATTTTTCCAAAAATAATTTTATAAAAATAAAAAAATAAAAATTTGACATTTGGACAGCCAAGTGAAGAAACTGGAAATAAACAATCCTGTAGATCATCAATGAACATTGCCCAAGTAATATTTTTGTTGATCACAAAATGGACTTTATATCTATATATAATCACTTTTAAAAATAATAAATTGTTGAAATTTTAATTTGATATAATTAAAATTATTTGATTATTATTTAAGAGAAAGTATTATGATTATATTATTGTATTTATGCTATGATTTATTCTGTGATTCCATGTGATTATTATTTATGTAATAGATTTGATTGGTATAAATCAATTATATTCAGTGAAATGCATAACACATAATTTTATGTATTTTTGCATTGTAGTTTTATTCAAATATTTTCCAATATTTCTTAATTACAGCATTTTACACATTATTTGCATCTCCTTGCTAAGTTTCTGGCTGTGCTATTCGAGTGAGCTGTACACCTATTTTAAATTGCAATCACAAAAACTTATGCTTGTGGAACAGTGGCTGTTCCCATAGGCACAGGATATATGCTAGGATGGGTTATGAAAAGGTTTCAGTTTTTTTAACAGCAGCTAGCTTATAATTGAAGTAAGAAATGCTACAATTTAAACTATTTTACTGCATGCAAATAACAGTTGAAATGGTTAATGATTAAATGTTTAAAACAAGTGATGATAATTGTGCATTATTCACATCTTGATGATGATAGCATGAAAAGCCAGCTTAAAAATGCCTGTTTACCTGAAGATAATGATAACTGCAACTAAAATCTGATTATAATAAGTGAAATTTTATAAGTGTAGTTTTTGTTTTAGCACATCTTAATTCTGATAAAATTAAACAACAGATAACACTATAATTACAATAAGCAGATTTTATGTAGTTTTAAGAATAAAATATTTGTATTCAGAAAATTTTTATTGCATGAGTTTTTTTATGGGCATTTATATTATACTAGACTAGTGTTTGATGTTAAGTATCAGAATTTTTATTTTATAATTCAGAAAGCTACATTTAATTTAAATATTTTTCATATGAACACTATTATTGAAATTCTTTTTTATGTATTTAGAATAGGAAAATTTTTAAAAATGGAAAATGAGTTTATATGGAATTTATTTCAATTTGAATTCATCTTCAAAGTGGCAAAGTTAGATTCTCTTTCTTGGATTTTATATAGAAAATGTTGCTTTTAACTTACTGCTTTTTTTTTTTTTTTTTGATTAATTTATATAGATGTAGTGATCAATTTAGTACTACACTAAATTAATCAATACAACTATTGCCACTTACACATTACAGCCATTTATTGATTGGAGTAACAAGCTCAATTAAGTTATTACTTTTTAACAGACTTTAATTAGGAATTAAGCTGTTTAAGAAGTCAAAGTACAATTTATTAATTAAATTTTTTTTTCCTCTAGATTTTATGTTTAATCAAATAGTTTATTTGATTAAACATAAAATCTAGAGGAAAAAAGTTAGGATCTCCAGGGAAAATGTACAAATATATAAATATATACTAATGCATAATATATTATACTGGTTACAATGTACTGTACATAATTACATAATATATATATTTATTATCAACCAATTGCTTCTCATTTATTCACACTAGGAAGCATTTTTTCCATCTGTTCAATAACATGCAATCTTCTGGAGGTCAATGTTGTTATACCTTTATCCACGTTTATTGCTTTAATTACTTCTTTGTTCTTAAGAATGGTGCACACTTTTTTCTTTGGCATCTTAAACATGGCCACCAGATTTGCCACACATGAACTACTTTAATGCTTTATGATAAGTTCTTTTTTCACATTCAATTGTCAATACCTTTCTCTTAGGCTTTGGATGCCATGGTTAATAAGCAGGGATTATATATATATATAACCAATACACTAAAAATAAAGCAAAAAAGCACTGAAAATACATGACTAATGCAAGAGATGCTTTCACAGCAAGCATGATAGAGACTGCTGTTTGGTCTTATTTGTTTCTAAAAAGAAATGAAATATTAGGAACAAATATTGTCTCATATTTCAAAACAAAATTATAAAAACTCTTCATTTATAAGATAGTTTTCTTTAGGATCAATTTCATAGATTTAAATTGCATCTTCAAATTAAATTAACTTGTAAGAGATTAAATTGTAAAGTATTTTTCAGTAATATCTACATATAATGAGTGCATGTATTGTATTGTACTTTATAAATTAACAAACATAAAAATAAATTTTATTTTACCTCTGTTATTTCTGTTAGGATGGAATATTGAATTCCAAGAACTGTTTGAGAATGCAATAGAGTCCTGGAAGCTCAACTCTTGATAACTTGACATTTCATAAAACTCGTCATTCAAAAAACAGATGATAATAATAATAATAAAAATTAAATATGTGTAATCTAATTTTTACTTCAATAATTTAACACTAGGATCAAACAAGATATTGTTTGTCACTGAAGACACTTGATAATAGCATCAATTCTATGTATTAACAAAGAATATAACCATTTTTCCAAGGTGCCACTGCAAAATGTCACAATGTGAATGTCACTAACTTGAAAATAGCACTTCACAGCCAATATTTTTTAAATTAAAATTTAACTACAAACAGAAATAGGCACTATTGGTATGTAGTTAATACATACTGTATATGAATTTGCATGAAACTATTATAATACCTTTACTTCTTTACTACTTACAGAAAGTTTGCTATGATTAGCATTGCTATGTTTAAAACTTGTCATTTTTGATAACTCATCACCTTCTCAGTTCACATTAAATTGAGTTTGCAGGACTCTACTATAATAGAATTTCTTGGCTTCAAGAAATTCTATTAGGATAATTGACAATTAGAAGAAAGAATAACTTAAAATTTTCTTTTCACAAGTTGAATTTTCACATCAAATTCCAGTTATCATTCATTTACCAGCGTATTGTAGAGTTGATTAAAACTTTAATAACAAAATTTATGTCTCTAAAATTTAAATTATTCTAACAATTCAATAAATTTGCAATTTGTTAATCTGCCATTCCTTGTACAGAGGGGTGTTAGAGTGTAAAGTCCTAAAACATGC